TTCAAAAATCTGTTTCTCAAAACGATTTGCCAGATTTGGACTCTTTGGTTCAGATTAAGAACCGTGACACAAATCGAGTCCGAACTGTAGCATGAGGCCCACGGGCGCGTCTACAGCGAACAACCTCCTTTCCTCCTCCTCCTCCTCCACTTTCCTCTGCACCTTCAACTCCTCCCTTTCTGGAACCCCTCTCAACGGCTGCGGTCCCAAGTTTAAGGCAAACAGAACCGACGGTAGGACAAGCTCGTCTCACCTTACTCCATTTTCCTCCCTCCAATCCCTCACCCTCTTCACTCGGTCCTCAGTCGCCTTGTCCAGCTTGGGCTCGACCGATTTGGTGGGCACCTTCCAAGTTGTGCGACCTCCCGCCCCGCTGTTTGCCGTCACAAAGAACCACCTTGGCCTCCAGTCTTTTACCGAAGATGGCAGACCCGCCACCAGACCTCGTCCAGCCACCGCCTGCAATGTAACCCAAGTGTCCTGTAGGCCGAAGGCCTTATAGCACGAGAAGAACTTATCTACCGTCAAGGCCAACCCTCCCATTGCTTGCGGCCAGGAACTCGCGCACGCCATTAATATTTTCCAGGCGTTTGGCATCTGGCGTCGCATCTACTTTATTCAACACATCAACCACAACTTGAGGCAGCGGTAGCCTCACACCTTCCCGCAATGCCTCCTCGTACAAGCTAAATTCCCCCGTCCGTGCATCCGACACCCTCTCGGTAGATGTCGGCAGCCTCAACCCTATTTCCAAAGGAATCTGGTACTTCCCCCTTATTCCCTCCAATCCATCGGTGTAAGAGTAGATATGTCTGCCTTTGTGTGCCAGTGATCTGGTTCTGCCTGGCTGATTGGCCTTGGAGCTGCTATCATGGTGGAACCTTGGGATCGTCCCACCAACTCCCCCACCCTCTCCGTCCGGTACTGCTGTGCCAACTCCACTGCATCATCATCACCAAGTGGATCCACCCTGACATTCGTAGTTTCTTCTTGGGCCATCTCTATAGTATGTATGCGAATCGCTTCGGATGCAGGTGCAAGGAAATTGAAAAAGTGTTGCAGAAGTGTATCGTGAGCAACAAAGGAATTAACACTTGGAATGTTTTGATTTTTTGTAAACAAGTAGGTGAATCGAATGATGCCAAAAGCCCACGGTTTGCCCGTATTCCAAGGATCCTAATTAATTTTCGCCAGTTTGAAAACTTTTCAAATCATCCGCCAAAACTGTCTGTTCAACACCCATAATGACCTATCATTTCATCTCTGATCTGGCGCCTAATCTCCTCCCCGGTGGGATGTTGCCACGTGTACGACCACGATCTACTGTCTCCTCCCCTTACCCTGTCTTTTCCACTTCAAATCACCACGTGACACGTCGCCCTTTGAGCCCCACGCCCCTCCACTTCACCCTTCGTGGTTAGCCTTCCTCGCGGTCAACCCTCCCACTCGGCCAACCTCTGCGGTCGGCCCCCTTCGCGGTCAGCCCTCCTCGTGGTCGACCCTCCCACTCGGCCAACCTTTGCGGTCGGTCCTCCCCGTGATCGGCCCTTCCATTCGGTCGCCCTGCACGGTCGGACCACCTCCCAGTCGTTCACCTCCTCGGTCACCCTTGCCGGTCGACCTCCATCCTACCAATCCCTAACACCCTCATCTACTTCATTAATATTCCATTCGTTGGACTAAAACTGCACTCGAGAATGGGGGACTACTGACGTGTATAAGCCCATAAAGGCCACGAATCACTATGAACAATCCAAGCCCATCACTTTGAGCCCAATGCATAACCCAGCTGGTGAGGTTCAGGACAGCTGGAGTCCAACATGGCATAAAGAGCCAATGACATTTAGACACACGGCAGGTAAATGACGGGCCACATCAGCAGACAAAGATCTGCCAAGTTATTGCCACTACACATCACTATTAATGCAGCCCATCACAGCATTTATTACGACAACACCTCTCCGTCGGAACAGGACCCCCTTACCCTGAACAAGGTAAGTTACAGCATAGACTTTCGGCGAGAAGGGCAGGTCGGAAGGGACAGTGAAATCATTACCAAAGGATATAAGCAAACGTTGAAGATAAGAAGAAGGTTAAGCTTTTCTATCTCTAATCTCTCTCTCTCTACACTCTACTTCTCTCCCTAACTTGCTCGTTGGAGGGTTCACTGGGGGACTACCCAGTTCCCCGTTGAACTTGTTTGCAGGTCATCCGGGGGGCTTGATCATTTGGACGTGGGCTTGAGGAGCTTGGACCAGTCTGATCCATTCACTGGAGCAAACTGTATTATCAATACTTTAATAACAATGGCTTTATATTTATTTATTTATTTATTTTAAAAAAAAATATATTTATTATGTGATTTAATTATGTTTCAACCAATGTTTTGAAAATCGGACTGAACCGGCCGGTTTGATCGGTTGAACTGTCGACCGATCTATAATCCAGTTTGGATATACTCTCTAATTCGTTCTCTCTTGAAAATCAGTCATTTTAAGTTAAACTTAGAGCATGAATTTCCACATTGCCACCATGATTCCTTGTTAATATATAGAAAATATATAACATTAATTGTATTCAAACTAATTTCCCTCAAACACGTGTATAATTAATATTTTTACAAACAATATTAATATAAAAATATATATAAACATATATGTTTGATGAATATATATATATATATATATATATTCAATTATAAAAATATTTTAAATGAACGTATTTTATTTATTTTTAAATTATAAAAATATTGATAAAATAATTATGATGTCACGATTTAATTCCGGTTCAACTCGATAGTTGAACAATGACCTATCCATCTAATCTATTTTTTAATTCGTCCACCGATCTGATTTTTAAAGCATTGGTATCAACAACAAAAACAACAGTCTCAGTCGCCCACATAACCACTCTGAAAGATATTCTATTCCATCATATCGAACTCGAACAAGCAAATAGGAGGTCAATTCATTCATGAGATCATCAACAACACTCGGGTTAATCTACTTCATGCAATTCCCAATCCAAAGTCGTTGAGTTTAGATTCATCTTCTTCTCCACATAATCATATGAAAAATGGTTGAGAGTACTAAAAGTCGTGCTCTAATAGCACCACTAATGATGTGGCAGTGGGCCCCGCCCACTGCATATACCTTGTTTTTTTTTTTTTTGTCATTCCCAATGCATTAATGCTATTAGTGATTTTTTTTTAGCGGTATGAATCGTTATTGTAATCATATATGGACATTGCTGCAAAAGTCTAAAAATTAGATCTAATTTTCAAGTTCAATGATATAATAATTAATTAGTATATTAAAGTAACACTCTCTCTCATATTTTCTAAATCATAACTATTCATATCACTTACATATATAAAAAATAAATTTAAAACGTAGACTTGTATATCATTTTCTATCATATATATATATATATATATATGGGCCTGACTTTGGTCCAGTCCACCATCGGACTGGACCGTGCTATTGGGCCCGTGGGGGCCCACCACGGCCTCGTTTTGAAAATCTGAACCGTTCAATATGTAGAACTCTTCGAGTACTATATGCCTGTAAAAAATCACGTTAAAATATATATAAACATATATGTTTGATGAATATATATATATATATATATATTAAATTATAAAAATATTTTAAATGAACGTATTTTATTTATTTTTAAATTATAAAAATATTGATAAAATAATTATAATGTCACGATTTAATTTCGGTTCAACTCGATAGTTGAACAATGACCCATCCATCTAATCTATTTTTTAATTCGTTCACCGATCTGATTTTTAAAGCATTGGTATCAACAACAAAAACAACAATCTCAGTCACCCACATAACCACTCTGAAAGATATTCTATTCCAACATACCGAACTCGAACAAGCAAATAGGAGGTCAATTCATTCATGAGATCATCAACAACACTCGGGTTAATCTACTTCGTGCAATTCCCAATCCAAAGTCGTTGAGTTTAGATTCATCTTCTTCTCCACATAATCATATGAAAAATGGTTGAGAGTACTAAAAGTCGTGCTCTAATAGCACCACTAATGATGTGGCAGTGGGCCCCGCCCACTGCATATGCCTTGTTTTTTTTTTTTTGTCATTCCCAATGCATTAATGCTATTAGTGATTTTTTTTTAGCTGTATGAATCGTTATTGTAATCATATATGGACATTGCTGCAAAAGTCTAAAAATTAGATCTAATTTTCAAGTTCAATGATATAATAATTAATTAGTATATTAAAGTAACACTCTCTCTCATATTTTCTAAATCATAACTATTCATATCACTTACATATATAAAAAATAAATTTAAAACGTAGACTTGTATATCATTTTCTATCATATATATATATATATATATATATATATAGGGTTTGGCTTTGGTCCAGTCCGCCATTGGACTGGATCGTGCTGTTGGGCCCGTGGGGGCTCACCACGGATTCCGTTTTGAAAATCTGAATCATTTCAATGTGTAGAACTCGTCGAGTACTATATGCCTGTGAAAAATCACGTTGATCGGATATCGATAGCTATGTGATCAAAATAGTTTTTTATCAACCGTTAATTTATTCACCATCTATTTTTTTTATACAAAACGGATTTGATCACATAGCTATCGATATCCGATCAACGTGATTTTTCACAGGCATATCGTACTCGACGAGTTCTACACATTGAAACGATTCAGATTTTCAAAACGGAATCCGTGGTGAGCCCCCACGGGCCCAACAGCACGATCCAGTCCAATGGCGGACTGGACCAAAGCCAAACCCTATATATATTTATACTATTATATATGTGAGCACTAGACTTTAGTGTCCATGTGGCATAAGTAATGTTTGAATTTAAAATTATAAGTTTCATTAAGAACACTCTTATCAATTAAACAACATACATATTGTGATATTAATTTTTTATTATTTAATTTTATTTCTTGCTTATTCTTTATTGTTTATTTTTATTTCTTGCGTATGTGGCACCTGTTATGTTAGTACGCATATCCACACAAGAGCTCGAATCATTCTTCGCCATTGTTGTGCTTGATTTGATCCTGGAAATGACTCTCACTCTCTTCAATTCAATCTTCCACCGGCTCACCTCCCGGTGGCCTTCTCCGCCGCCACTGCTCTACGCTGCCGCATGGACGGCGGTTCTGACGGTGATTGTGGCGGTGGCGTCGTTCTGGTCGGAGGCGGCGTTCGTATCGGCGATCTCTCGGAAGTCTGTATTCTCTCGGGCATGTGAGTGGGAGGGGTTGGTTAGGGTTCCGATGGCTCCTCTGGTTTTTGCTGCGGTCGTCGTCGGCTCCTCGGCATTGGTTGTCCGAGCCTTGGGGTTGTGGGAGGTTGATGACGATGATGAGACACATTGAAGACCTTGGAGCTCAACTAAATCGATCACGGTCAATTTTCTCGCTTTTGCATTAATTCACAGTGTAATATTGGAATCTAAAGCCTTGGTTTGAATTTGTATTTTGTATGAATTGAAACACAAATCATGTTATATATTAGTTTCTTCATGTTTGCATTACTTGTGGAAGTTGATTATATTATAGATATGTTTTGTTTACGCAGAGCAATATCTACCTAATTATATATATTTGTCAGCAAAATGAAATCCAGTTTGAGAAAAGAAAATTGAAAAATATGTTTATTTGTTTTTTTTTAATTTATTTATTTTCTTCTTTTAATGAATCTTTTAAAAGATTTAGATCTCTAGATTTAAGTCGACGAGATGTATCGAAAAATTAAAAATTAAAAAAGACATATCAAAAAATTAAAAAAATTAGAAAAAGACAAAAATAAATAAATAAAATTTTAAAATTTTATCTATTTATTTATTTTGGTATTTTAAATTTTTTTAGAATTTTTTACGGACTGAATTTTTTTTTAAAAGTACCATAATTTAAAAAAAAATTTACTTAAAAAAAAAAAAGATTTTGTAAGTGCTCCCAATCCTGGTGGATGTGTATATATGGACATTCTTAAAAATATATATATTTTAAATTTAATTGGGTAGACTTTTGTTGTGAAGTGTTTTTGTACACTCAAAATTCCATAATGATCAAGTTACATAAATAAGGGGTACCCATTGCGTCCCCGTCGTCGCGACTAGGCTTGTACATATCATATATAACATATCCAATATATACATGTATCCATATTCAATAAATATTTAAAACTTGCACGTTAACATTTTTAAAGTATTCATATTTCATAGGTGTTCATAAATTAAATTTATCTGATTTCAAAACAAATCAGAGATTGAATGATTCCTCATTAAAATCGCAACTAATATATAAGTAGATACGATATATCACTCCTAACTAATCATTGGTTTGGTTTGGTCTATAGTTCTTAAAATAATTTATAACTGGATATGATATATATTTTACAATAATGTTATATTTCTTAATTTATCACTCCTACATAATCCTTAATGATATGGCATTGAAGTTAAACCCCCACACGATGGAATGTTTGACAAATCAAAATTTGACACTTGTCAGAACATCATTAATTTAGGGATAAATTTTAAAAATAATAAATTATATGTCTCAAATATTTTTCTATGTCTTATTATAAAATATAAACTATCAACAAGTGACATAATTGAGTTGATCAAACCTACTCAATTCCATAAATTGGTATTTGAATCTTGCTGGCCAATGCATTTTTGTTCTTACATACAGAAATATCTAAAAATAATAAATAAACACATCACTCTTTAAATTGGTTCAGAATTATAATTGAAACCTTAAAATCGCAAATGGAACTTACTGAGTTAATTTTAACAGTTCCATCATTTGGCGTTCAAAAAAAAAAAATTCCACTGTTTTACGAAATTGGTACCATAACCAAAACTAATAAAATCCGGAATATACCAACACTTGGATTGAATTGAATTGATTATTTATTTATTTATTTATTTGAATTCTACCAGTTTTTTTATGAATGCTCCTAATTACATCCATATATAACTCTTACAATCATGAAGCAAATGGCTCAACATAAACCATATAATCAACAAAAACTAACAGTACCTTGTGAAAAAACTCAACTATTGAAATCAAACAATGAGAAACACACAGAGACACACAGACACACATATAGTTTAAATTTTCTAAGCTGAATTAATCAACTGGTTGCTGAAATCCCAAAGTTTCTTGGCTAACACCTTGTCGTGGTAAACTTGCTTGGTGGCCCCTCATTGCAGTCAAGAAAATACTTTCCAGTTACACCTTTCAACTTGGGGTGAAATGCCACGTAGCATGTTATGGCTGCTCCCTGAAAAAAAATTAAAAAATGGAAATGAAAAAAAAATTGGAAGTGGAACAAGTGATTCTTAAGCAAGAAACTAGTGAAAGTACTAGGTAGTTGGGCCACAAATTAAAAACTTAATTATAGATAATATGGTCTAATTGTTTCCATTACAATTAAAACATATTATAAAAAGGTTATCAAAATAAGCACTAGTATTGAGACCAGTAATATTTTGCAACCAAAACTTTAGGCGTGATTTGAAACTGACTGTTTTAGTATATGTTTAAGTTCTACTTGACTAGATGCACTACAGGAAACAGGAGATATGGTGGCGTTTTTTTAACAACGTTTTTTTAAACGTCACTGTTATTAGTATTTAATGGCGTTTTATAAACGCCGCATATTCTATTAGACAAAACGGCACCGTTTTATAATGGGAAAACGCCTCCAAATGTGGTAGCCACACGCGCGTCCTTTTGTGAAACCTTATTTTGAATCAGAACCCTCCCTAAGCATTTCGATCGAAGATTCAAAACTCTCTCTCTCTCAACCCTTATACGCACACATCTCTTTCTCCCTCTCAACCCTCTCTAAGCTCCATCGAAGTGATTTCAAAGCTCCATTGAAGATTCAGATCGAAGCGATTTCGAAGCTCCATTGAAGATTCAGATCGAAGTTCCATCGAATTGATTTTGAAGCTCCATCGAAGATTCAGATAGAAGCCTCATGGAAGCGATTTCGAAGCTGCACCGGCAAGGTAGCGAGCTCCACCATCTCATTTGCAAAGATTCAGAGATTCAGTGATTTCCAGAAGCTTAGATCTGAACTCTGACCCCTCGATTACTCACATTTCAAGCTCCAATGACGGCGAATAGTCTACTTTGTTTCTGAACTTTAACCAGTACTCTCTCTCTCTCTCTCTCTCTCTCTCTCTCTTCTCGGTTTGTTCATGTAGACAAATTGTCCTTTCGTTTGACTGCATTTGTACATGCTATTAGTTGCCTGTAGTTTCTCTCTAGCTTAAAACTGCTGTTTGATTTGGATGTCCTGTGGAGTTGAATACATACATTTTGAGTTTCTAGGGCTTCTTGAGCTTGTTGAGTTGCGCAGTCTCCTCTCTCTCTCTCTCTCCTCTCTCTCTGCACTGTTTTGAGAGGGAGAGAGAAAGAGAGAAAAATGGCGGAACATGAAGCTCCTATTTGCTACGTCAGAATCGTGAGAAAGTCTGCCGCTTTCCATCTCATGAAACAAATGGTTTGTCACGCCCCCAAACCGCCCCTAGTAGTTTGGTGCCGTGATGGCCAGTAAACCGAGATTACCGAAGGCCGACTTACAAGAATCACACACAATCAGAGTATAAAATATGGGGCTTACAAGTGCGGAAGCAACATATATATATACAGAATCGAAATAGTCCATGAGAGCCGTGCTTAAGTCCAATGAAATGACATACATTTTTACAAAGTCTTACAACTTAGATACAATAAGGGAATGAGATACAAAATACATCTTGACCAAAAGGCTTCTCAAGCCGACATATACAAGTACACATGAAATATAGGCTAAGAAGCATAATCTTCAAGATGGTACAAAATGCTAATCCAAAACACGTCGGCAATGCACCCAAAAACACATCGGCTACACGTCTAGGCCTCATTGCCTTCTTGCTCATCACCTACATATATATAGAGAGGGTGAGCTTGGATACTCAGTGAATGATATTAGAAATAAAGGTTTTGCATGATTGATATCCAAGATTGACAAGCTGTGCTGCGACAGTTTATAGTCCTCTAGCACTAAGGACTGTCAAGACAAGCTGTGCTGCGACAGTTTATAGTCCTCTAGCACTAAGGACTGTCAAGACAAGCTGTGCTGCGACAGTTTATAGTCCTCTAGCACTAAGGACTGTCAAGACAAGCTGTGCTGCGACAGTTTATAGTCCTCTAGCACTAAGGACTGTCAAGACAAGCTGTGCTGCGACAGTTTATAGTCCTCTAGCACTAAGGACTGTCAAGTCAAGCTGTGCTGCGAAAGTTTATAGTCCTCTAGCACCTAAGGACTTTCAAGAAAGTCATCAAAACAAGATAGCATTTTAATATACAAGTAGGGATAGTCATTCATGCTAGATCAAGTACTTTTCAAAACAAGGCAAGACGAGATTTATGAAAGCAAGTGTAACATAGCTTTATTAAAAATACCACTCACATAGTTCTTCACACGTCGGGATCGAGACAAGCCCAAGTCCTACAAACACAGGGCAAAGCCTATTGAATGCACTTTCAAACAAGTCTCTTATGTATGCAAATGGTCTCGGAAAAGCATGCTGGGCACTAACCAGGTCTAGGCCGAGGCTCCACACCTCCTTGCCGAGGTGTGTTCCCGAGGGCCACATGCAAGGAAAAGAGGTCGGGAAACTCTGGGTTTCCCTTTGTTGATGAACATGAAGAACATGAGTGTGAAAACATGAAAAATATGAATGTTCAATCACAATCTGTCATCACAAATCTGGGATTTTCATGCTATGAGTTTGAAAACATGGACCTGGGTACCCGTACTTGGAATTCTTGTGGAAATAAATACAAAAACATGATTCTTTATGCAAGCTTTCGGATCAAAACAAGACTTTCTTGAAGAACACATGAATGTCATTTTCTCTTTCTAAAACCGAACTTCAAAACAATGCATGGCTTACAAATCATATCCGATCATGCAATGCAATAACATGAACATAAACAACATCATGAGCAGATCAAGAATCTAACCTTAGAACACGGATCTAACGGTTCGATCTCTAGGAATCAAGCTTGAAGATCTACTTCCTCACTTTAAAACGCCTTCTTCCTCCTAGAGTTTCTCTCTCTACAAGGCAAGGTTATGATACCAAATGATAGTATTCTTTACCCGGTTCTGGGGTTAACCCTCTACTGAGACACGTGGCGGCGACTGGTTGGGTCTTTCCCTGAAAAGGTGGCTGACAGACCAGACAAAGCATGGTGGAAGTGTGTTCAACAAGTAAAGTGGTATGGGCTCTCTGATGAGGCAATGACATCGGCTAATAACAAGGCGTATTTAACAAGCTATACGGAATGGCACTCCGGCAAGGGGTGACATCGGCTAACAAAAGGACTTCGGCAACTAAGGTGACAATGACCCCGGCTAGAAAGGACAACACTTGACTAAGCTGTGCCACATCTTGGCCTAGATGCGCCACACCTCGGTCTAGGTCATACCACTCCAGGGCGAGATCACTGGGGTGCAAGGTAACACCTCGGCTAATGTGTCAAGGCGAGGACGGAGGTCAACAAGGGGTTCCAAGATACTTCTAGACTGAGGATGACCTCGGCTTGGAATGATCTAGGCGTAACGTAACCTAGGCTTGGAACAACATCGGCTAGCATAACTCAGGCAAGGCGTGACCTAAGTTTCTCATCAAGGAAGGAACAAGACAAGCACACTACACTTAGACAAATCACAAGGCCTCAAAACAAGGCATGGATCACACTCGCTTAAGCGAAACAAGTCACAAACATACACATGCAAACTTAACAAGCCATAATCATACAGATGCTCATGAACATGACGAAGACATAAAATGTGGGTTCCTACATGGTTAGTTCTCTTTCTCTCTCTCTTTCTCTCTCTCTCTCTCTATATATATATATAGCCAATATAAGATTACCAAAAAAAAATTAAAAAAAAATTGAAATTTCAGAACACAGTTGCTTCAGCTCAGGTTTGAATCTGTATGTATGTGTAATGTGTGTGTTCGATGAATTTTGATGGTGTGGAGATGGAATTGTGTTGTAGGGGTGGGAAGAAGGCGAAGGGCTTGGGAAAGAGAAGCAATGGATCAAAGGATATGTCAGGGTTAAGGACAAACAGGACACTGCAGGTTCTTTTTTTGCTCTGATTTTTGTTTATTTATCAAATTCATCCTCTATTTTGTTGCCTAGAACAGAGAGTTCTTTTACTTTTATTTTCTTAATTGTGTTATGAATCAAAGGAGCTAATAAGGTAAAACTTGTTGTGGGATGAGTTTTTCATTTATTAGAAGAATAAGAACAATTCAAGACATATAGAGCAGTTTGACAGTTTAAAAATTACAATAGGTATTGGTGTAGATGAACCCAAAAATAATTGGGCGTTTGATACATCACAGTTTGACAACATCCTAAAGAGATTGAAAGTGGTAATTCTCACATTTATCTTTGAATTAGATTTAATAAGCTTTAAAAAAAATTGTTATGTTTTTCTATCTGTAAATCTTTCTTTTTATTTTTGCAGCAAGTAGCAGAAATCAAGGATGAAGGTACATCTAGATGAAAATGAATTTAGATTGCACTTAATAATATCATGATAGTTTGATGTGGATCCTCTTTGTATGCATCTTGCATCTGTTGAAAAGGATGATGTTCAAGATATTGATACTGATGCCACCACAGAGACTAATACAGTTGTCAAGTCTACTCGGCCCCAAGGAAGGTCAATATGGTTGCCCACATCAATGCTATTTTTTTTTTTTTTTTGAAATTTATTTACTTGTTTATTTTTGTTTCCTTCTTTAATATTCACCAAGTATAAGAAAAGAGAGAGGGAAACTTGTCCATGCATATTCTTCCGAGGATCTTGGAGGAATACTTGTGAGTTACTTAAAATATATATAGTTGGCCGCAAATGATTCTAAAAAAGTTCCTACACAACAAACATGTCACTGACAATTTTTTTAGAAAAAATGGTGTTTGCCAGATTGGAGAGCATCAGATGGTGCCATCAATTTTTTTTTTTATTGTCAATTAAAGGTGTAGATTTGTTCATCATAGACCTGTTCAACATTGGCCCAGATTTTTGGTTGGATTCAAATTTGAATTTGTATGTGATGGCAAATCTCAATTTGATAAGGTTATACACATTCTAAAAGAAAAGAATATGTTAAAGAGCCTTCAGAAGTCTTGCCTAATTTGATGAATGCGAGTTAAATCAAATGGCCTCTAAATTTGTTTATGCTATGAAAGCATTATTTTTTTAATTTTACATGATTCTCATGTGCCTGTATTGTCTTTGGGTATGCCCGTTTCTTTATATGTATTTAGTGCTTCTTGGTATGTGATAAAATCTTCTTGTTAGTGCTTCTTCAAGTTTTAAGTACTGTTTATAAGTATTGGGTATAAATTCTTCAATTTGTGTTTATTTTGGTGAATCTGATTGCAGTTTATGTTCTGATGCAGGCATGTAGACCAGTGAAGAATACGACTTTAATGCTAAGACATGATTTTTGGATATATGTTAGTTTGTGGTTAATGTTAAAAATGATTTTTGGATTTTGGATATGTTAATTTGGTGGGTAATGGTGATTAGATATTAATTGAATGAGAAAGTGAATTAATGATTCATTACAGGTATTTGAATAGGAGTTATTATTTTATATTACTGCTATTACAGGTATTTTTTTAGTTAAATCAAATAAAATTAGCACAATTTCAAAAAAGAGAAAAGAAAAAAGGGATATGAAGGCGTTTCTACAAACGCCTCTTAAACACTACTCACTAATGGCCATATTTTTTAAAAAAGATATGACGGCGTTTTTCCAAAACGTCGCTAAATATCGTCAGTGACGTCAGCATGTGTTTAGTAGGCCATTTCGCGGCCGCCGCCTATACCAATATCACGACGTTTTTAAAACGCCACAAAGCTATAGCGACGGCCGCGTCCTCGGCGTTTGGTGCTACGCGTAGCAAAAAGAATTGGCGGCGTTTTTGACACTTATAGCGGTGTTTTTTAAACGCCACTAAAAGTCTGCTTTTCAGCAGTGATGGATTAGAAATTTTTAAAAAAATAAAAAGTTAAAAAAATCACTTTTACGCCCTCTTTTTTTTTTAGTAAACTTTTTTTTGAAAATTTTCATTAAAAAAAACAATCCTTCTATAATAGATGAATTGATGGAAAAGTAAAAAATAAAATAAAATTTGACTTAATACATTTGAAAAAAATCACTAAAGACCAACCACCAATTTGGTTTATAACCAAAACGAAAACCTCATAATCAAGGCTATTTTGATTCAAAGCCAACCACCACAAAGTCTTATAACTAATCATCACAAATCCGACAATCACAAAACTTCATAATACACAGCTTATAATCAAGACAACAACGTTTCATAACTAGTAATAGTAGAAATCTTGAAGGGTTTAAATGAAAAAAAAAAAGAAAAAAAGGAAAAAAACTGGTGGTGGTTGAAACAAAGTTCAGAGTGACCAAATCTATTTAGTTTTAATTTTCAAAATTCACTTTTCAAAAAATTCTACTTTTTTGTTCTCCGTATTTTTTTTTTGTTTTTATTGAATTTTTAAAATATTTTAAGTAATTTTTAGATACACCTAACATAAATACGGTTAAAAAGTATAATATTTGTGAAAAAATCTTTAAAAAAAATACTAAATACCAAAAACACAAAAAAGAAAAGAAAAGAAAATTCAATACAATTTTTGTATTTTTGTGTATTTATTATTTTTTTTAAAATAATTTTCACAAATATTTTACTATTTAGATACATCTAAGTAAGGTGCATCTAACAAAGTAAAAAAATTGTTGGAAATTTTAAAAATATTCACTAAAAACAAAAAAACATAAAAAACGAAAAACTCAATTTTCAAAAAATTAAATTAAAAAAACTGAAACCAAACACATTGATTATTTTTTTATTTTTTGTTACTGAGTAAACTCCCAAGCTTGTTATCCGTTGATTTCGGAATGAACTACCTAATGTCGGTTAACTGGAGTAGAACGAGGGTCAAATATCAAGTGTGTGCACCAACTCTGCAACACACGCACTATTTTAGTCAAATGGAGCAACGATCAGGATTCGACCTCACAACTAAGCCCTGGACGCGGGTCGTCTAGCACTTAGAGGGCCATCCTAGGACCACTACACCAAATCCCTAGGAGCTGGCCCTAGGGGGTGTGAAACCTAAGATCTCAGGGCTTATACCCCAAAGTCGTACCAGAGTGTCACAGCCCCTTGGGTTAATGATTAGTTTTTACCCCTTTCCTTTTCACTTGCTATTAATAGAGAGGGATCGATTACCTGTGGGACGTTCTTCCATAGGAAACAAGAGAATATCTTCGAAAATTCTGGAAAAAAAAAAAGAAAGAGAAAGAAAGTTACTGAAATAATTAATCATCCAAGTCTTCTTCCCACCCATTTTTCAAACTACAGAATAGTACTAAAGTGAGTACATACTCATGAGCAGAATAGAATGAGGGTGTTTGGTAGAGCTTAAAAGCTGCTTAACTTAGCTTTTAGATTATTTTAAGCTATTCTGGTATGTCTGGTAGAACTTAAAATCACTTTTTGTAGCTTAAATTAAGCGAAAAAAGTGCTTTTTGGCTGAGTGGCCTCCGGGGTGCTTAACTCATTTAGCTTAAGCGGGAAGCTACAAATTGAAGGGCAAAATTACTCAAATGCCCTTTACTAATTTGAAATATTACCAAATTGCCCATTATATAAACCAAAAAGCATCACTGTTCATTCTCAGAGAGAGAGAAAGAGAGGCAATTTCCGGTGAGAGACTATATCCAGCGGGTGATTTTCGATGCTCTCTCTCTCTCTCTCTCTCTCTCTCTCTCTCTCTCTCACACCAGTGCATTCCCTTTCTCTCACACTCACGAACCAGATCTCTTCTCTCTCTTAGCGATCGAAATCCTAGCTTCGCGATCGAAATCCTAACCATCGACTGCGTGATGATTGCGATCTGAAACCTTAGAGTCACGATCGACTGAGTGATGATCGATGGTGACGATCAACCATCCGTCGTCGTTCGACGTTGGTTTGTCGCTGCTGCTCTCTCTCTCTCCAGCATCGGTTCGTCGTTGCTGTTCTCTTTCTCCAGTGATGGATTTCATTGTTTTTTTTTTGTTGAGGTTTTCAGTGTTTTTTTTAATAAAAAAAATCATAATAATAATTAAGCATTTTAGCCATTAATGAAAGAAATTTTATATTAATTGATACTAATTAAAAATTTTAGTATTAATTGATGCTACTTAAGCCATTAATTGACACTATTTAATTTATAATGAAAAAATGAAATATCACCAAAAAAAATGATATAAATTGAAAAAAAAATGAAAGGATTTGTCAAATGAATAAATGAATTACTAAAAATGAAAAAATGAAATATCACTAGAAAAAATGAAAAAAATGCTATATCACTAAATTAAAAAAAAAACTAATAAAAACATAATCACAATTTTTAAAAAAAATTAAGATTGAAGAAACAAAAATGAAATACAAAATGAAATAACTTATATTAAATGAAAAAAAAATTGAATATTATAACTTCTATTAAATAACTAATTGAAATTAATATAAAGAAAAATAATGTAATGACATCACAACATTAATACTAAGGAGAAAAAGAAAGAAGAGAAAAGAAAATAAGGAGAAAAAGAAAAAAGAAATGAAGAAAAAGAAGAAAAAAGAAAAAGAAAAAAAAGAAGCATTGATGCTAATTATGCCATTAATTGACACTAATTAATTTATAATTAAAAAAATGAAATAATTTTATACTAATTGATACTATTAATGAAAATAATAATTTTTGTAATACTAATTATATTAACTTTTATTAATGAAATAACTTTTTTAAAATTAAAACTGAAAAAATTACAAAATAATCATTTTTATATCATATAAGGGTAAAAAGGACAATTATATAGCAAAAAGTTATTTTACAGCTTATCAACCAAATACTACTCTGTTACTTAAGACTATAATTCCACAACTACACCAAACAGGTTAATCGTTTATATTCACAGTTATAAGCTATAATCTGTTAAGTTATAATCTATAATCACTCTTCCACAGTTCTACCAAACGGGGCCAATGTCTCATGAGATATGTCATTATCAACCCCGGATGCACCGAGTACACTCTGCATATATGCAACTCATATCAATGAATATATGATCAAAATTGGAAACATCTACACAAATATTACTAGAAATATCATAAAAAAATATTTGCATTGGCCAAGAGTAGTTGCAAAAAGCCCCTAGAGATCATCATGAGTTAGCAGAAGGGGGAGAAGCTAATATGGAGGTGATAAAAAGTATTTGTGCCAGAGGGGCAAAAAGGTAAAAATCCACTTTTAATTTTAGTAGTAACTCTGAGTCCAGAATTGGGTTATTTGTAAGAGAAAAATTAGGTATACGTAAATTAAGCTTTTCCCTACTGTTCAAATTATTTTTGTATATGAACTCTCTTGTAAAGTGGATGACTAAAAGAAAAGTAAATTATTTATATTTTCTTTTACAG